ATTATGATTATGGCAGACTATTATCATACATATTTTATAGTATTATTTATAGCTTATTTACTATTCATAGTATATTTCCTACTTTTAAATTCAATTTCATTAAAAATATTTGCATAAATCCATCCCTGATGAAAAAAATGACGTTATTAATTACGTTATTAAAAAACATAAGTAAAAAAATTCTAAGTTCCTTCAAATTAAGTTGGTTAATGACCCATTCTGAGGCACTTAGACTCCTTTTATAGAATAATACAAAATCATTAAATATCATAATTTTAGTCATATTTCTTTATTCATGATATTTATTTACTTAATTGATTAAGAGAATCATATACATACATCAAAGCGCATAATGTTATTACTTCTCACATAATGGCCGCGAATTGACAAGAATTACTCAAATGCGACTGTCTCTTTTCGGTCAACGCCTAAGCGCTTTACCACAGATGCGAGACTCAAACGAAAGCAGGGCGGCAACTATATAAAATACCTAGTGAATAAGTAATAATTAAATAATTTACCTGCAGTTTAACTTGTCCAGAAACTCGTACCTTAGAACCCAGAGATGGACGTGGATTAGGTATAACTCTCAAATAAGTTATTATAGAAATAGATTTATAATATTTATTGATCGAATTACAGAAGGTGCGTAGTGTCACAGAGTAGAATACAGCGTCCCTGTTACAATTGTTTTGCGTTCTCTTTTATAGCACAAAATACATAAAAACTAATCGATAAAGGGTTAATCCCAGAAGGGGTAAGTGCGAAACTGAGATTAAAGTCAGCTATTAAATGACTACTGCTTTTATTTACGGGAACTCCCCTTCCATAAAAAAATTCAAATTTTACCGCCATAAAATAGTCTGACTCGTCCTCAACGTAACACGCCCGCCCCTGAAGACCAGCGAGGCAGGGCGCTCGCAAGTTGCACCTGCCAATTTGAAATTGCGTACATCAAGATAATATACTTATACTTTGCACATAATGAGTTACAATATGCACTACGTACTAAACACCCAGTAATTTTACACATATATATGTTTGAATGAGAAACTTCGAAGCACTATAAAGTCTCTAATTTTCAAAAGGCAAGAAACCACCACTCCACACTACATTTAATCTTCTTAGAAATATTTCTTCTCCTATGGTGCCAGGTTTTTTCTCCGGGTTTAAGGGCATTCTGATGGGCGGTTGACCAGTACTCCCAACAGATGAGGAAGATATTCTTCGGTCCATGGGTTAAATATTTCAAAATACACAGCTTACAAAAACGCCACACAGGTAGAGGTCGAGAGCACTGTACACAGTTATCAAAAGTTAATAAGTCCGCAAAACCCACACCTCCATAAGGCAGATGTACAAATTCGGCGTATGTTCTTCCGCGTTCGATCCATTCTCCAAGAAAATATGCTACAAGATAATCTATCCATACCTGCATATCTTCTCTCGTACATTCATCCGGTGGTCGAGGAACATACTCTACATACTGCAACTGGTCGTTTTCGTATCTTAACTACAACCTTTTCATGATGATTTGAAGTTGCCTATTCGTGATATCTACTAGCGGTAGGATTAGGTCGTATCCCATCATACGAGCGCAATCCTCCGATACCTTTCGGTAGTCTTCTCAGCTGTCATAGCAAATCTGCCCTAAGACTTGGGCCTGATTTGTTGGGTTACCCGCTCTGGATGGACGTCCCATTTTCATTGCTTCGCCGTTTAACCACAAGATGATTCCTCGTCGATACATTTCCGGTAAAACCGCGTTGTCGTATGGTTCCGGACTGTTGAATAAGTTTAAGGGATCACTTATCACTCCTTCTTCTGTGATCACAAATCCGTGGTTTTCTCCATAAACTTCTTCCAACTTTTACAAGACCCTACTCACGAACATGTTATACAATTACTTACAGAGACACAGACACAAAACTAGTTGACACTATGCTGTCTTACGGGCAACTAAGTCCCTTTTATTTTACTCTACCTTTCAAATCGGGAACTTAATCATTAATCTAGCTATAAAATTCTAATTTTGTTTCTTTCCTACTGCTAGATACCACTTAATTTATTCGAATACCAGGTGTCGAATTTAGTGTATTATATATCAACTGTATTTGGAGGAGTCTTGCCAGGAAATTGCAGTATAAATTCACTCTAATAATAATTTATTTATTTATTTCTATTTGTACATAAAATTAGCCCCCTAAAAAAAAAAATTTATTCACTAAGATTTAGCCAATAGTTACTGTTTTCTGAAAATAACTGATCTACTTACCTACTCCACGCCTGAATTAATTCACTACCTCCTTGATGGAATCGGCACCTTTCGTCATCATTTTCTAACGACTTCCGATGTTCGGCAAAGGGGCACTCCAAAATTTGCATCAATACGTCCTCACACTGTTTGCTTAAATGCAAACATTTAACTTAACGTAAATTAAGTTAACGTGCAGTAACGACAATTACGTACTGCTAATAATGGTACTTGACACCCTGCACAATATCCAAACGTAAGTCGGTTATCTGTATTAAGACTACCATAATTTATCTTAAACAGATGCTGAATGAAGATATCAGCACTCACGGTTTGAAATAGTAAATTTTGGCTCCTGAATAAACTATCCTTTGTTACTGTAAGATATTCCGGATATTGAAATATCTCATTATTGTTTCTTAATGTAAAACGTTTGCCTCTGGCTTGCTATTGTGTCACTGTGAGTCCTGGTATTACTGGACCTAGCAGTGAGTATCCCATCTTCGTTACACTTTCCTTGCATATTTCTTGAAATTTTGATGAGTTATTATATATTATTTCTCCGATTAATTAATACGTGTACGTTGGCTGTAAGATCCGCACTTTGTATCCGTATTCACTTGCTGTTTTGTTCAACCAGCGGCAAGCTCCCCAGCGATAACTATGGAACGGTTCGGGTATCCAACAGTAGTTTTCACTCGTTTCGAACAGTCCTAGAGGGTTTCGTTGCATAACACCTTTCTCGTTAAAGAGAAAACCGTGGCAAAATCTTCTTTCACTTATGAGTTTGATGGAAACACACTGAGCGTACATTTTTCACTGGATTATATTAATTGCTTGATCTGTTTTCTATAGACTAACTAATTTTCTCTTACTCCATTCGTTTTAATAGTGATTTTTTCTAATTCCCTACCTCTTTCTTTCTACTTTTATGTTCCTGGATGATTACCATTTTACAATTTATGACCTACTCTAGTCACACTAGGAAAGCTTTATTACCCACACCTGGCCTAATAGCGTTCCCCGCAAAGCTAAATATTTCATATGAATACTAAAACTGCAACTGGCTGTTTGACTCCCTCAATAACAGGTATACTTATTTATTCTTTGATGTTTATTGATTCTGAGCTTTCGATTCCTATTTGTTCAGACGATTCTTCCTTTAGTTCTTCATCCTGGGTTGATTCTAATAGAGTTGGTAACATATTTTCATAGTCATGAACCTTTTTAGGAGGTATGCGGGGTATCTCGTAAAACGGTGGTCCCGTAAAATCGTATCTAAACCCGATATCTAATTTCGACATTGGTATATATGTTTCGCTTACTGTAGTGCCTCTTATACTTTGTTTTTTGTTGACATAGTGATATACTATAAACATAATTAGAGAGCTTATAATTAAACATAAAATTGCAATGCTGATACAAATAAGGTTCCAAGTTGACAAGTTAGTTGTTTTTGATTCTACTTTTGTTGTTGGGGTATTGATCGGTTTTATCTCAATTTTAGTTGTACTGTGTAACCGCTGGTCTATATTTAAAAGAGTCATTCGAAAAGGCGGAATAATTAGATTTGTTATTATTTTATTGCCGGTCGCACCTCTATATATTTTTCCATCGTCCCATATGTCACAAGACCTTGGGAGTTCAATTATACCAAAAGAAAGCTTCGGAATAGATATCAATTTGTTAGTGCATTTAATTTTTAATGAATCATATTCTCTGGTTGAGAATAACCAGAGATGACTGCTAGCAGTTTTGATTAGGAAATAATCTTCGTCTTGACTTAATTTAACATTACATTTATATAAAGTTTTGATTTTTGGCTTTATTAGCATGTTGAACTCACAAGATGCTTTGGTATTTTCTATTAATTCTACACTACATATTCTATAATATTTTACGATGTTACATAATTCAAAGGTCGTTTCACTCATAAAGAAATATGAATTATTAGTTTCTGATACAACAATGTAATCATTCCGCGGTTCAATGTATGCAGCGATTGACTTGTTTATCTCAGATTGTTGAAAAACTGGAAAAGACATCATTTTGTACACGACAAACTGTTCGGCATCTATGACCGGTAGTATTATTTCTACAATTAGTATTTTCTTATACATCATAAAATGTTACTGTGCTATGTCAGTAATATTTGCTGTATTAATATTATTAGGTTTAACAATAGATTTTAAAAGTGATGTCTTTTCAATTTCATGTGCATAGCTAATAAATATTTATTATATTTAAACATTTCAACCATTAATAACATAATTTCTTTGCTTTCATGTTGTAGTTCTTTAATGAGTGAAAGTGTTTTGTGGAAATTAGTGGCCTGATTTTTGTCTGTTATGTTCGAGTTCTGTTTTAACAGTTGCACGCATCTTTTAATATAGTCACTTTTCGAGTTTACTGATTTAATTTGTTCATGCAGGCCATTATCAAAGAAATAAGTGTTCGGTTCAGCGCCCACAATATAAGATAGATCGTTTATACGCATGTTAGTTACTCTTTCTATAACTTTTTTTGTATTACTCAATACGTAACTGTTTTGAAAAGATAAAGATTTTCCTCCCCCCTTAATTTTGTCAACATGCAAAGTGTTGACAAGATGATTCAGGGAATCGTCAACATGATTAATATCCCGCAGATCAACCATAACATGCTTTATAATCGAACTTGCTTCTATGTTGGATACATTATCTTCTATAAAGATGTTATTTAAAGTAGTTACTTGATTAGTAAGTACCTCGTTCCAAATGAAAATGTGTTGCATGTCAATGGTTGTTAGTAAACTCCAATTTTCACACGTAAAGGCTATACGTTCAATTTTATGAAACGCAATCCCTGCACTGTCTTCAATCAGATGTACGACGGAGTTTTCTTCTCGTCCCCTAACTGCCATAAATCCGAGAAGAAAATACAGGCAGATTGCTGCTTTTTTCATCTTATTTGTTTTTTTTGTGTGTTCTGCAAACTGCAATTCGATATAGGTTACAATTATTATTCGATAAATTATATATATATTTTTTTTTTATACAAGCTTATAGGACCATTAACGTCAAATACACTATTGTTAATCCATGCTTGGGTTAGGTTGTGTATTATCGCTATTACAATTTTTTTTAAATACCCTTTTACAATTTTTATCTAATGAATCAAATACATTATGTGATTAAAAAAAAGATCTTTGAATGTTTTGATATTGATTAGCTGCTAAATCTGTTGCGTTTGAAATATTTTCTAATTCATTTAGATTGTTGCTAATTTGTTCAGCGTGTGCAACTGCCTGCTGTAATGAATTATAAAATTTGTATTGACACATATATCTTTTTATGCCTTTGTTTAGGTATTCAACAAAACACATCGTTGCTAATTGTTCTCTTTCTTCCATAGTGTCTGTTACTTCACCTAACTATAATTGAGCTAAATGGCCTGCAATCTTGTATGATTTTAATAAGTTTATGGCTCTTTTTCTAAATTTATGAGTTGATTCGTTATTTCTTTGAGCCATACATATTAATTTTGTCTTCATACAAATTAGATTTTCTAGTACTTCGATTTTTTCTGAATCACTCATGATGACAAATCTAATTTTAATACCAATTTTTTTAATTCGTCCCTATCTGAAGGAGCTCGTTTATTCCTTGGAGGAATTGACCGAATGCAAGGCTCTTGTAATACGGAATACAGTCTAGTATCTATTAATCTGTTTTCTACCTGTTGTGTGTTGGGTTTAAAGGTACATTCGATTACTTTCGCTTTCAATGCTAGTGCGCCCGAGGAACTTGGAGTAGATAGGGAATTTGGAGGGGCGTTTATATAAGTGGTTTTGACCACTGTTCCTCGCTCGATTTTATTTTGATTCTTATCTTGTTCCCGTTCTTCAGCAGGAGTTCTAGCTAAATGGACAAGTAAATTTGTAAGTGAATTCCAGACTGATATTTTGATTTTTATCTTCTAAAATGAAAGTTGCTGACTTACTATTCAAGTTTAGCAATACCAGTCTTTTCGTTACTTCTAATTTCTTTGTATTCTTACTTAAGCTCGGCGCTCTGTTTGGCTGGTTGTTTCCCCGGTCGCGCCTTCCACCTGGAAACCACCGGCATTTCCCTGTTGTTTCTTTTGTTCGTTAAAAATTCTTTTGTTACATCTTATTTTCCAGTGACCTTTAATACCGCAATAATTACAAATAGTCGGATCTCTGTTTGGATTTCCTGGTCGGCGATTATCAGAATTAAAATTTCCCTGGTATTGATTTTTTGGTGCAGAGTTCTGATTTGCTTGGGGTGGAGCTACTTGCTGGTTCATTCTTTCTCTATTGGCTGAATTTTGACTATTCATTTGCTTTTGGCCTTCGTTACTATTGAATCTTTCATTTCTAAATGTTGTACTGCCATTATTACGGTAAAAACACGTATCTGCTAAATGATTTGACAATTTACAAATTTGACATACTTTCGAGTTATCGGTTTTTACCACTTTTACACTTTTAATGTTTGCTTATTCTTTTTTTGCTTCTGCAAGTACTTTTACTGTCTGGTTGCGATTGTTGGGTTCCTGTATTGCGAAATCGCGTTCAATCTCTACTGCTTTTGCTGTTGCTTCTTCAAGATTTTTTGCCTGTCCCATTCGCGCTTTAATCACCCAGTATAGGCGCGGATGAAAAACTTGATTTTATCCTTTTCTAATTGATTTAAGAATACGACATTATACCTTTTCTGAGGCTTTTTGCTTGAGCATAGCCAGCTCACCAGATAATTGGTTGAAAGTTTTATCTGATACGAAAAGGTGATCTAAATACATTTCAATCTCGCTGATTGTCTCAAAATGTTTTCTACGCATACTTTTTTACGAGGGTGGTCCGATAAGTACTTAGCTTCACCGCTCTATGGCGCCACTCTCGCAAAAGAAATATTCTATCACGTAGTACAACCTTCTCGATGGTTACTGTCAAGATTTTAGCCGGATCGGAGTTGTAGTTTATTTTTGAGAGCGTGTGAAAGCAAGTGTGTCCGTTGATTTTTGAAAAATGGAAAAAGAGCAGTATCGATCGGTTATTCGATTCTTGTTTTTGGAAGGGAAATTGCGCAGCGAAATCAAAAAGCGCTTGGATGTTGTGTACGGTGACTCTTCTCCTTCGATGGCGACCGTCATAAATTGGTTTAACGAGTTTCAACGTGGTCGCACGTCGATTTTTGAAAAGCCACGTCCAGGTGCTCCGAAAACGGCTATCACGGAGGATAACGTGACAAAAATTCACGATCTCGTATTGGCAGATCGACGATTGAAGGTGCGTGAGATAGCTAAGATTGTAGGCATCTCAAAAGACCGCGTGGGTCATGTCCTACATGAAATTTTGAGCATGAGAAAGCTATCGGCGCGATGGGTGCCGCGTTTGCTCACTCCGGACAACAAGCGCAACCGTGAGACAACTTCAGAGCAATGTCTGACGCTGTTTAAGCGCAATCCGCAGGAGTTTCTGCGTCGTTTTATGACAGTCGACGAAATATGGATCCACTGGTATACACCAGAGACCAAGGAACAGTCGGAACAGTGGACTTTACCCGGTGAAAGTGCTCCGAAGAAGGCTAAGACTGCCCCAACCCAACCCAACCCAACCTAACCCATCGGCCGGAAAGGTGATGGCCACCGTTTTCTGGGATTCACAAGATGTGATCTACATCGACTACCTGGAGAGGGGCAAAACGGTCACAGGGCTGTACTATGCCGAATTATTGGGCCGATTCGACATCGAATTGCAGAAAAACGGCCCCATTTGGCGAAGAAAAAAAAACTATGGCCAAATTGGTAGAATTAGGCTACGAACTGCTGCCCCATCCACCGTATTCTCCAATTCTCCAAATTTAGCCCCGTGCGACTTCTTTTTGTTTCCAAACTTGAAAAAGTCACTCGCCGGGCAGAAATTTGAGTGGAATGAGGAGGTAATCGCTGCTACGGAAGCTTACTTTTCAGACCTCGAGGAAACGTATTATTCAGACGGGTTAAAGAAGTTGGATCATCGCTGGGCCAAGTGTATCGAACTAAAAGGAGACTATGTTGAAAAATAAAACCCCACTTTTCCAAAATTTTTGTTTTTCTTTTGTAGGCTAAGTACTTATCGGACCACCCTCCTATAGAACAGCTCGCGCTATAAGAAACTTGGGCCGAATTATATTCTATCCAAGAAAGACTTTAGCCCTGCTTATGGGACAATTCGCACCATAAGAAACTAGGACATAGTCTGATTTTCCTTCAAATATTATACATATTTATTATATATTTGATTTATCAATTTGTTATTATTAGTGAAGTCTATTTGATCTATCTATTTATTTTTTCAACAAGTAGAGTAACTTTATTAGAAGCAAATTCTTACTCATTAGCTGGATACGAGAGTTCGAATTATTATTTATAAGTGATACGAACATCACAGACTCGTATTCCGTTATTTCCCCTTTTGATTCAATTATTGGCTCAAATTTATTTTCAAATTGTACTAGTTTGTCAGTACGATTTACTGCGACTAAAATTTCTTTTGGACTTATATTACGTTTTGTTAATTCTTCTACAATGAGTAGTAAAAGTGGATCTCGACATGAATTCCTTATTAATTGTTCGTTTATATAATGTTCTAAAATTTTTATTAATTTTTCTAGTTGTTGTTGTTTTTTGCCCTCTAACTCGAAATCTAAATCTTGACGAGCATGCAGAAATTTTATACATTCTAGTAATGTTGGTTCTCTACTAGTTATAAAATTCGGATTTACTTTTCCTATGCAGTTTCTTAATATTAATAGTGCTTCCTCATTTCGTTTGTCTTTCAAATCGGCTCCCGTAGCCATGTTTGTAAAAAAAAATTTACTTTTGCCTAATCCTGCTTTTCGTTAAAAAAATTTACCCGGAGGAGTCCCCAATTATTACGTCTCACGTAACGGCCGCGAATTGACAAGAATTACTCAGACGCGACTGTCTCTTTTCGGTCAACGCGTAAGCGTTTTACCACGGGTGCGAGACTCAAACGAAAGCAGGGCGGTAACGTATCTAAAATACCTAGTGAATAAGTAATAATTAAATAATTTACCTGCAGTTTAACTGGTCCAGAAACTCGTACCTCAGAACCCAAAGATGGACGTGGATTAGGTATAACTCTCAAATAAGAGTCCCTGTTACAATTGTTTTGCGTTCTCTTTTATAGCACAAAATACATAAAAACTAATCGATAGAGGGTTAATCCCAGAAGGGGTAAGTGCGAAACTGAGATTAAAGTCAGCTATGAAATGACTACTGCTTTTATTTACGGGAACTCCCCTTCCATAAAAAAATTCAAATTTTATCGCCATAAAATAGTTTGACTCGTCCTCAACGTAACAATGTACAATAAATGGGCATCATACCGCAACAGTCATCAATAGCAAAGTAGTATAAAATAAAAGACTAGTGGGATGAAGGACGTGGGTTCAAGCCTCCGCGAGATCGTTTCTTTTTATTTTTTTATATTTATTTTTAAAGCCTATTGCATCAGTTGGATATTATTTGTTTAAATAAGATCTTGGAAACAGTTATTGTTATATAAAAAAATTTTGTAAATCTGAAAAATATTTTTAATGACGTTATTTTAAAGTGGAAAATACCGTTATTGCACAGTGAAAATATAAAGTTACTGTAGATAGAAAATAACGTTATTCTCTGAAAATCTCGTTATTGCTGGTGAAAAAATAACGTTATTTTGTAATATCGTTATTAAACCTTCTAATTCCAAACACGTTGAATATCATTATAAATTACGTCATTAATAATGTTATCAATAAAGTCATTTTTTGAGCAGGGCATACACAATCCATTTTTAATAATTTTGCCCCGAAAGGGATTTATGTAATAAACGGTTTTTGATTACAACATTTTACATTATGATTAACATAAAATGCAATAAGTGTGCTTAAAAATATATAGTTTGTTAATTTTCTTTAGCTAAAG